TCTAATGCTATAGTCACTATAAATTATCATCATTATGAATCACTATTACTCAAGTCCAGTCGTGAGAACTATGGTTTTTGTTGTAAATGATGTGATTTCTTCCAATGTAAAACTTTGAACATGAAGAAATGCAAACAGATTGTAAAAACAGATAAAGAAGAATAATCTCGTGGCAAATGGATTCGGGCAATGTCAAATACTGCTTGTCTGAGGCTGAAGACTGTTACGGTGATATGGCTCTACATCTTACCCAGCTGCGTACACCAACAGTTAAAGGCTTCATGGGTTGATTCCGTGGTTCTCCCCTTTCCAGTTTATCCTATATCAGCTAACATTGCTTGATATGGAAGGCGAAGACTTAGCATGCATAACACATTACTCAAAAAACATTTCAATCGATATAACTTTACAACCTTATTGAGTGATTTTCTCTGTTTACCTAACACTACGACTAACCTCATTATTACTCACCATATTATACCACCTAACATAAGAAAGCAGACGCATTCACCTATAGTCAAAGATGGCTAGGTTCTTCATATCTTCCACTTCCAACCGTTATGTCTTACACCCATGAAGCTGCCAAATGCTGTACCAGTCTTTTGAATCCTTACTGAAATTTCGTCAGCAAGCAGTAGATCGAAAATATTTTTTCAATTGTCTTGCCTTCAGAATATGATTGATTAACATTTTATTATGAAACAGACTTGCAGTTGTGAATACCTTTGAACCTCAAGGCATGCAAGTCAACCAAAACGCACACGGATCTATAGGTTATGCATTTTTCATCTATCTAGTTACTTGAGCCATTGATATGTGAAATATTAAAGTGAGTATATCAATATTTCATATGACTTTTTTCTAAAAAAAGATTCTGAGAAAAATAATCTGACTCAATTAATTTATTGACTTCATAACCAGGCAAACACGTGATAGTAAGTAAACAAAGACTATTCTTTCTGATAACTTCTGTTATTTGAGATGTTATATATAGTTTATATATCCATGTGAGTTAAGAAGCATTTATTTGCGACAACATTAAGATCAGAAATCCAAAAGTGTATGTGTGATGTGTCTGAGTAAACTATTTATTATAGTTGGAAACAAAGGACTCATGTGGTATTTGCCAATTTCAGTTATTTCTCGCGTAGATGTGAAATCCAGTTATGGATAAAAGGATGTGTCAAAATAAACGACTTTGAGACTTTGACACATGCCCCATGAAAATGGAAGTCATTAAGAAGCAACAGAAGCAAATCCCTACAAACCGACACTTGAATATCAATGACATGCTCACTAGCGACTTGCCCTATACAGGTAGGTAGTTACCTGGGGTTCTAGTGAGAAGTCGTGACCAGTAGGATGCAGCAGGTCGGGTGTGAGGACAAATACTCGCCGAAGACATTGGCTAGGGGTCGCGCTATGTCGTGAATTGGCAGAAGTTAGAATTCACAGATTGGCCATTGGATCAGGTCTCAGTGGCTTAATGGTCTACGAGTTCAGCTTGTAACCAGAAGGTCCTGGGTTCGAACCCCGGTGGGTGCGTGCTGATGAAGAGTCCCAAACTAAGACGAAACAGCTGTCCAGTATTCCCAGGTTTTCCAATGGTTCTCTAACCAATGTCAGCTCATGATGAAATCCTGTAACCCATCAACCAGATCCCTACAAACCAACACTTGAACAACAGTTTTTTAATTGTCGGTATTTGAGTTCTTTCTGTCGTGTTAAAAGATATAATATGCAGAGTAATATGCAGGTAGGTAAGGCTGGAAATCGAATCAATGAGGTTATGAAGCTTAATTGACTAAGATGCCTCAGACACATCTTACGCTTTTTTTTGTCATTGCCTTCCTAGTTGAATAATGTTAGCCGACAAAGAATTAAGTAAGAAAAGAAGTCTTTGTCTATTGGTTTCAGCCACACAGAGTGTGATACAGACTTCCTAGCTGTTGTTTTCAAGATGCTAAAACGCAACATCTCGAGATTGTTGATAATATGGCTTAAAATTGTTCTCAGTAGCACAGATACATCCACTTATTTTGAACTCTAACAACAATGAAATCCACCCTTCTATACATTTTCGTGCATAATAGTTTTTTTTGATGAATTTCTTTTACTCCTTTACCTTTAAAGTGATACTTTTATGCTCATTGACCAAGCATTCAGTTTAGGGTTCGATTTCCTGCCGACGTACTCCTAAACCTTACCTAGCCTGTAGTATTCCTGGAGAAGATGGAAGGTCAGGTGTCGGGTTCACAATCGCACCTCGCAAAGAGACACCACTGCTACTAAAACTCCAAAGCTCACGTTCCATTATAAAAGCAAAGGAATGTGAAAGAAATGGAGATATACAGAGATGAAACCTGGAGAAGTTGTAGACATGTAAATATCCCTTGTTCATCAATCACTGTTTTCGAAAAGAAAAACTAATGAACCGTTGAAATTAAAAATCTAAAGAAACCAAAGAAACTAACCGCATCTGACTACTAGTGCTTGCATATATCAGTTCACATGCTGCTGTGGAGCCAGGTGCATCGGTCGTTCGACGCACATCCAGTCGAAAAGGATTCAAGAACACTACCTAGCATGGTTGTGAAAAGGTAATAATGGTGCTTTAAGAAGTGGGATTGTGGTGAGAGCTGTCTACTAGCCAAGTGGTGGATAGTAATTGAGGTCAATGTTTATGTATCAAATATTAGTCATGTTGTGGTGAGAGATGGTTGCTGGCCAAATTGGTTGACAGTAATTGAGGTCAAAGGTCAAGGTGGACAGGCGGTTACAGTTAACATATAGATGAACTGACACAGCCACAAGAGATGCAAGGTTAACCTTGTGTGATAAACAACCAATCAACAGACTGTATTTTCTACTAACATTGACCTACAATAATGTACATAAAAATCTATAAATACGTGTTGATTTTTCGTAATAAACGATCTGTTGCCTGGCCCTTGTCTTCTGTTGTTACATTTGGTGTCGCTGCCTACCGACAAATGGAAAGCCTATGCCCTGCAGTTTTTGATGGAGACATATGGATCTTCGCGCAGGACTTCGAGGCTTCTTCGCAATTGAGTGGCGTTCAAGATCTGTCAGCGATGAGGCTGCTACTTGGGACGCTGCTGGGAGGTCGGGAGAAAGCAGCATATGGAAGTGTGAGGCGAAATACCTACGAATGTGCGACAGGGTCAGGCAAACAGTTTCCAAAGTGGGAAGGACCATATATGGTCACGTTGAGATGGGGTTACGCAGACACAATCGCAATGGTAAACACCGTTAAACAAGTGGACATCCGCAAGCGCCGAGATTCCAGACAGCAAGACAACAGAGCAAAGCCCCAAGAACCGAGAAGACCGAGCCGACTTCAGTCCAAACTATTTGACGGGGGGACGAGTGTGGTGAGAGCTGTCTACTAGCCAAGTGGTGGACAGTAATTGAGGTCAATGTTTATGTATCAAATATTAGTCATGTTGTGGTGAGAGATGGTTGCTGGCCAAATTGGTTGACAGTAATTGAGGTCAAAGGTCAAGGTGGACAGGCGGTTACAGTTAACATATAGATGAACTGACACAGCCACAAGAGATGCAAGGTTAACCTTGTGTGATAAACAACCAATCAACAGACTGTATTTTCTACTAACATTGACCTACAATAATGTACATAAAAATCTATAAATACGTGTTGATTTTTCGTAATAAACGATCTGTTGCCTGGCCCTTGTCTTCTGTTGTTACAGGATAATTGAACACTGGTCAACACTGATCACTCCATCTCAACAAATGCCTCCTCCTTCAAAGTAATCTACAGAGCCAAGAATAACCTGCCAAAGGCAATATGGCTTCGTCTTCTTTGTATTGCTGAAGCTCTGACCATTCACATAGTAAAACCGGAGCTTCGTATACAAAAGAGAGTTACTCAACAACTTCTACTATCATGGTAACAACTTTGTTGATTTTTGATGACTTAGTTTTATTTGTTTGCTTGTTCCTCCATTTGCTTATAATTCTTGTATTCACTTAGATCTCTTACATAATTTCGTATTCTCTACTTTGTTCCTATGTGTATCCTGAGTACAACTCAACCATTAAACTATTTATATTATTACATAACTTCTTTTTAACAATTTGTTGTGACAACTTATCATCTCTGTTATTACCCTCATTTTATTAACACCCAATTTTCTTGGCCATTTTTGTATTACGTAACTCCACTCCAAGAATAATTGATTCTCACCCTACCCCCTTCTTAGTTAAAATAACCATCAATTGTATTTTTCAAGTATTCGTTTGTAGGGATCTGGTTGATGGGTTACAGGATTTCATCATGAGCTGACATTGGTTAGAGAAGCATTGGAAAACCTGGGAATATTGGACAGCTGTTTCGTCTTAGTTTGGGACTCTTCATCAGCACGCACCCACCGGGGTTCGAACCCAGGACCTTCTGGTTACAAGCTGAACTCGTAGACCATTAAGCCACTGAGACCTGATCCAATGGCCAATCTGTGAATTCTAACTTCTGCCAATTCATGACATAGCGCGACCCCTAGCCAATGTCTTCGGCGAGTATTTGTCCTCACACCCAACCTGCTGCACTCTACTGGTCACGACTTCTTACTAGAACCCGAAGCAACTACCTACCTCAGTAGGGCCAGTCGCTAGCGACCTTGTGACCAGAAGGTCCTGGGTTCGAACCCCGGTGGGTGCGTACTGATGAAGAGTCCTAAACTAGGATGAAACAGGTGTCCAGTACTCCCAGGTTTTCCAATGGTTCTCTAACCAATGTCAGCTCATGATGAAATCCTGTTATTGTATTTTTGTTTGACAAACTTAATGTACACATTCATAAACATACAAAACAACCTATATATGTATTTGCGATTGTACAGCTAAGAAAATAAATTCGTCGAAAAGAGACTCTTCGCTGAACTACGTAGTTGGTTTTCATTAAATGTATGTAAAACGAAATAGATTATTTTTATTATAATAATATAATGGCAAACTTACCCATTAATCAGTGTATTGTTATTGTAATTACTAATATTATGATTATGGCTGCTATTATTATTATTGTTATTATTATTATCATTCGACCAAAATGTAAAATTCACTGGTGATGATGATGATTTTTCACTTGATGTCAGTGAATTTGATGATGTACTTTTTATACGAATCGGTGATATATTTCTTCTCAATCGATGATCATTACGTCGTTTTAAAATAGACTGTTTATAATAATCTAAACGATCTAGTGTTTGTTGAGCTTCAGGGCATTGTTTTGCTATTTTTTGACATAATACAAATGTTGTCTCTTCTTCAATCCATGTGAATATACTTCGACGAAGACCGTAAAAGAGGACAGCTTCAACTGATGCTAGTAAAAACAATAATAATAAGAATAATAATAATAAGAAAAGTGTGAATGAAGAGATTAAAATAAATTTGAATGCAGCAAGAACTTCAGTTTGCCCACAACATAGCCAGTGTCTGGTAGATGCCGTGCAATCGCACTGTTTAATGCTTGTGGACCCTTAATCGCTGAACACATACCAAAGAACCTGGCCATGTTGTGGACAACCTGAAGTCGTTAAAAATAATCAACAGACAGACGAAATCTAGCCTGCTTCATTTTGCTGAGACAATCTCCATCAAACGGCCACAACCAAATCTCTGTTTTGCAGAAAGAGACAGTGGTGAATTTTGCACTGTCTTGGTGATAACAAAGCGCGGAAAGTTCACTACGTCATCTTCTGTCCTGTTTAGAAAACTTGAATTTTTTCGGCTAAACATGACTCATCCTAATCCCCCCTTTTTGTCTGTTTTATAAAAACGTGTCTTTCTGTGGTTACGTAACCCATTACTTTCTACACTCTTTCTAGTTAAACTTTACTTACTTTACCCACAAAACAATTGTTGAACTCTGTCCTTTTGTTTCCAAGCTTAGTCATGCAATTAATTCTTCTTCTAATAAATAGTCGATCCTTTTCACTCTTAATTATTCAACAATTTACATTATTTCTGATCAATGTTACTCTCATTTCCAATCAGTCACTCAAGATCATTGTAAAAAAAAGTATGTTCACATCTTTAATTGAATTTATAATTTTGGTATTGTTCAGGTTGTAACCCGTTGAGAAGAACCCACGAAATAATAAAAATAAAGAAATGAGCTTAGATTATCTTGGTACATTTGTCGTTCTTGCTTTATTCGAATAGATTAAATGCAAAATAAACTTGCATGCATAGTAATGGAGACTCGAGAATTATATATATATAAATATATTCATATTTCATCTCTTTGTGCTTCGACTGAAGCATAAGGATTCAAGCTTTGGGCTTTGAAATTCCAGCAGGATGGTTGTGACATTTGTTCAGTCGGGTTGCTAGCCTCATGTTGAAACCATCCCTCTTCCCCAGTCCTACTTTCACCGGCTAGTAAACTAAGTGATATTTAGAAGTGCATCGGTCAGGAACTGAACTCCAGACCACCCACCATATGTGTAGTCGATGAGCATCCTACTATTGAACTACCAAATCACTCAGACTTTGGTATAATACGAATGTAGCGTAAAAAGGAAAGAAGATGGGAAGTTAAACACACTAGTGTTTACAGGAAACCCACACATTCAAACAGATATTTGGACTTCCGATCATCCCACCCAATCTATGTCAGTGAAAATAGGATTGGTGAAATGTTTAAATAATAGAGCACAAAAACTAAGTAGTACCAAGGAAAATCTAAGACAGGAAGTGAGGTATATAAAAGAAGCTTTGAAACTTAATAATTACCCTGATAAATTAGTCAGAAAGTATGTAGAAAAATGTAAAAATAAAATAAATAATGATAGTAGTGATAGTGATAATAATAACAATAGTAACATTAATGACGACATGCATGTCAAACATGCGCAAGACAACACCAACAATAAGGAATCTAAGTCATCAGTAGTAATTCCATACAAGGAAGGAACCTCGGAAACCACCTTACGCAGAATTCTTAACAAGGCAGGAATAAAAGTGGCATTCAAACCCACAAACTCAATTAGAAACAAGCTTTGTCGGTCAAAGGATCCTGTGGAGCCTCTAAAACAAAACAATTTAGTTTATCTAATACCCTGCTGGAATGATTGTCAGGTCAAATACATAGGTCAAAGTAGTAGAACAGGGTCCATCAGAATAGCGGAGCACAAAAACCCAATCTTTTGTCTACTAATGCCCGAATGGGAATTATTCATGAATTAAAAAGTAGCAAGAATCCCTTGACAGTCAAGGAAATCAATGGGTTTCTACGGTACTCTGTCAAACTTGCGATAGTGAAAGCGAAAATCAAGATTAGTTGACGCGATTAAGATAAGAGAATAGTTCAGCTATAGCACTACATGCAGTTACACACAATCATACAATAGGATGGGATAAGATGACAGTTTTAAAATCTAATATCACGGAAGCTTTGTTTATCGAATCAACTGCAAATACGTGTAACAGGAATAACTCAACACATGTCCCATATATTTGGAAAATTCTGCTACCACTAAGACGACAAATAGGAGAGAACAAAGAAAACTATAAAACTCAAGTTTCGAAGTCGTGTGTTTATAATTGATATGATTATGAACCGCAATAAATTTTGTTCGAAACCTTGTCATTCAGTAAATAATACTGTTTCACACTGTGTGTGATATATCTCATAAACAAACTAATATGGAATTACTTGCTACCACAGTGCCCAAGTTATACACATACATTTAATGAAAACAACTAGATCGACAATTAGAGACTTTAAATGATGTAATATGAATTTATTGGCTATAATATAAATTTATTTATTGATCATGATACCAGTATTACAGTTTACAAGCAAAATAGTGTAATCAACAGAAGTAAAACTAGCGTTTCCATGACATTGTCTTAAATGGATTTAACACTAGCAATAAAAATTGACTACAGACAAGTTTAAACAAGTGAATAACTTTTTAACTGTAAGAAACTTTTTTGTAAATCATACTGATAATTGTTGTGCATAATACAAATATAATGATTTAAATCTAGAGTAAGAATGACTTTTACAAGTTGCCAAAAGATGATAAACTTCCCTTTCAAACTCCTTCGTTTTTCGAAGTAGAATAAACGAGGATTATTCAGATATATTTCGACCAATCAGCTTACAGGATATTTAGTTAGTGTGATAGGTTAATAAGCTTTTATAGCTTGGTATCATAGACTGGAACAAAAAAAAGTTTTGTTCTCAGCTGTGGTATTCCATTCATTTGCATCCTTGATGCCCTAGATGTTGATATCTAATAAAAGTTTGACAGTTCAGTGATAGAATACTCTACAGTCATGTATGTGCTTTTTAGGGGTCGTTTCTTAAATAGACTCTCTCCTCAGCATCATCCAGTTTATTAGCCGTAAGTAAGCCCAAAGAAGAGAGAATGTTGGGTGTGACGCCAGTGACTGCACCTAGTAAAAGGAATACCAATGCTACTGAAACTTTATGAAATTTGAAGCCCTATATTCCACTTAGAACGCAAGGAATGGAAAAAAAGATGAGAAAAAGCTCTAGTCAAAAACGACTAATTACACTAATCAACAGATAATGCTTCAGGGGCATAGACCCAACTTCTATGTCAAAACATATGGCGCTTATAACATCCGGTTTCAGAAGCTATCTAACTTCCGACATTTTCACGAGAATAACTTGTGACTCACTTAAGCGTGTATTCTTTGAAGTAGAATCTTTCAGTTTCAAAGATAAGATTTCGTATTTAACTACGCCTGTGTATATATCTTATTTCGTTCCCTGCTGTGATGATAGTTATATCAGCTATTCGACATTCATACAACTAAAACAAAAACTCCGCAATGGCTAAGATATGGCAATAACTATATAAAAAGTACAATAAGTGGGTAATTTGTCAATATCATCATTCAAACTCAGTTATGTTTACTTTGTCAAATATACGCAGCAACAAAATAAACCTGCATCATTTATATTATTGCAGCTGCTGCTATCTGGAACACGGAAACTGACACTTAACTACGAAGAGTCAAGTGTTGGTTTAGCAGGGATGTGTATGTTTTCAGGATTTCATCATGAACTGACATCGGTCAGAGAACCATTGGAAAACCTGGGAGTACTGGACAGCTGTTTTGTCCCAATTTGGGACTCTACACAATACGCACCCATTGAGATCTGAACCCAGTGACTGGCCCTATTCAGGTAGGTAGTTACCTCTTGGGTTCTAGTGGGAAGTCGTGGTCAGTGGGGTGATGTTATTGGTTAGTTGTCGCGCCATATCATGAATTGGCAGAAGCTGGAATTCATGGATTGGCCAGTGGATCGGGTCCCAGTAGCTTAATGGTCTACCAACTCGCCTCGTAACCGGAATGGTCCTGAACTCGTACAGAAAAAGAGTCCCGAAGTAGGACCAAACAACTACCTAGTACTTCTAGGTTTTCCAATAGTCCTCCAACCGATGTCAGCTTACAATGAGCCACTTCACCAATATCCCCTTCTTCTATCACAAAAACTTATATTATTTCTGACTATTGTTTCTTTTAAGTTCGACTCTTGGTTTACGCACTCCTAAACCTCGACTTCCCGGTAGTTAATCTGAAGAAAGTGAGAGACTGACAACCCTACCTTGCGGAAAAAAAACCCAGTGCTATTGGCCTATCAAAGGTTGAAGCCTCCTTTTAGACGCTCGGTAAATAAGAAATGGAATAAGTAAATAAATAAGTGGAATATGATAAACCATACTGACCACTTGAGCGTTAATTAGTACACTCCATTACGATAACAGTACCAATAATAATAATAATAACAATAGCGCCAATCAGTTATCAAGTACAGAGTGTTTTGTCTATTGTACTACACGGTGAGCTATGCTGTAAACACAAGCGTTTCTAACATGATCCAATTATCGAAAGTGAAGTTAGTGGAGCAAGATTTAGAACACACACACACACACTAGCCAATAAGTCTCATCCTCATACATATCAGATTATTACATAACAATCATTATTTTCAGTGTAGATTTCGTTATCAGTCAACATCAGCCTGAAGAATCATTGATGAAAACCAAACAACACTGATAGAATCATGAGTACGCACGACTGAAGAGCACCAGATCAGGATGAAACAGTTGTCCATGGGTTCACATTATCTTTCAATGATTATTCTAACTAATGTTGGCTCAAGACAAAGTCTTTATTGAAATCAATCCAAATTCCAAACATTAACTAAAATCTGAAATGTCATTAAGCTATTTTTTTACTACAATACCAATATCACAATTCTCAACAGTAATCAATATAGCCAGAATTAAATAAAATTTGATTTACTGAATAAAGCGCAAACTACTCAAATCAATT